GACATGCATGTGGACGTCAGAGGACAACTTTTCAGGTTCTCTCCTTCCACTTTTACATGGGTTCTGGGGATGAACTCAGCCTTTCAGGCTTACATGGCAAGTGCTTTTAATCTGCTGAGCCATCCTGCTTGCCTTCCAATGTTCATTTTTGACAGCTTTGTCAAAAATTAGCTATCTGTAGCCAGGTGAGTTTATCCCTAGGTCTATTATGATCCACTGGTCTACATGTCTGTTTTTGTGCCAGTATCAAGTTATCTTTGTCATTAAAGTTCTGTAATGTAGCCTGAGACTCATTCTCTCTCTCTCTCTCTCCTGAGACTGAGGTCAGTCTGGTCTAGATAATGAGTTCCAGCCAGCTGGGGCTATAGAGAACCCCTGTCTCAAAAAAACACACACACACACACACACACACACACACACACACACACACACACACACGGAATATTTTTCCTGATTTCTTTCTCATAAAATTTGTCACTGCATACCTGGCTTTCTGAAAGAGAATTTTAAGGCACTTAATTCTGATCTGGAGGTTTTTAGTTTAAAAAGTATTTATTTCAGGGGCTGGAGAGATAGCCCAGAGGTTAAGTGCTCTGGCTGCTCTTGCAGAGGACCAAGTTAGGTTCCCGCTACCCACATGGAGACTAACAATTGTCTGGAACTCCAGTTCCAGGGAATCCAATGTCATTTTCTGGCCTCTGCTGCCATTGTATGTACATGGTGAACTTGCATACATCCAGGCAAAACACTTATACACACAAAATAAAAATATATTCTTAGCCTTTTGGCTCGAGCAGCCATCTTCCGGTGATTTGCCAAAATGACAAACACAAAGGGAAAGAAGCGAGGCTCTTGCTCCATGTTCTCTAGGCCTTTGAGAAAACATGGAGTTGTTCCTTTGGCCACATATAGGTGAGTCTACAAGAAGGGTGACATTGTAGACATTAAGGGAATGGGTACTGTTCAATAAGGAATGCACCATAAATGTTGTCATGGCAAAACTGGGAGAGGCTACCATGTCATTCAGCATGCTGTTGGCACTGTTATAAACAAGCAAGTTAAGGGCATAATTCTTGCCAAGATAATTAAAGTGTGTACTGAGTATATTAAGCACTCTAAGAACCAAGACAGCTTCCAGAATCGTGTGAAGAAAAATGACCAGGAAAAAAGGAAGCCCCACCTAGAGAAGCACACTTAGTGAGAATGAATGGAAAGGAGCCTGAGCTGCTAGAGCCTAGGAGTTCATGGCTAAATGTACAAGAAGAAATAAAAGACCTAGATGTAATAGTGCTTTCTTATATTGAAAAATAACTAACTAAGCCGGGTGTGGTGGTGCACACCTGTAGTCCCAGCACTTGGGAGGCAGAGGCAGGCAGATTTGTGAGTTCAAGGCCAGCCTGGTCTACATAGTGAGTTCCAGGACAGCTGGGGCTACAGGGAGACCCTGCTTCAAAAAGACAAAAACAAACAAACAAACAAACAACCTCCCCAAAACAACAACAAAAAAGAAAAATAACTAAATAAATTTTTAAGAAATTAATTAAAAAGATAATTTCTGGGTCTGGAGAGATGGCTCAGTGGTTAAGATCACAGGCTACTGTTGCAATGGACACAGGTTCAATTCTTAGTACCCATATGGTGGCTAACAACTATCTGTAACTCCAGTTCCAAGGGAATTTTTATTTTGCAGTAAAAATATGTAATGTCAGGCTGGAGAGATGGCTCAGTGGTTAGGAATGCTGACTGTTCTTACAGAAGACCCAGGTTCGAATCCCAGGACCCACATGGCAGCTAACAACTGTCTGTTCTAGTTCCAGGGGATCTGACAGACTCTTCTGTCCTCTGCGGGCACTGCATGACATGGGTGCACTTACCTACATAACACTCATACACATAAAATAAAAATAATAAATAAAATATTTAAAAAAAAGCAACATCTGCAAATTAACTACTTATGACCTCCACAGGCACTGCACGCCACAAGTGCACTCACCTATATGCAGGCAATACACACATACACATAAAATAAAAATAGTAAAAATTTAAAAAGTAATTCTTATAAACTTTCCAAATAGTGTTCTTACACACACACACACACACACACACAGTCATTTTGAAGCAGGGTCTAACTATAGTCTCAGCTGGTCTAGAACTCACTATGTAGTCCAGGCTGGCTCAATCTCAGAGATCTGCTTGCCTCTGCCTCCCAAGTGCTGGGATTAAAGGCATGTGCCACCAAACCTGGCCTTATTCTTCCACATTTTGTTCATATTTAATTAGGACCCACAAATACAAAACAAAAACTAAACAAAACCAAATTAGGATCCAGGATCTAGTTGTTTTGTGCTTTAA